CTTGTAGCTGAGCTCCATTTTTACAGCCCAGTACTGATAGCCTATCTGCTCCAGCAGTGCCTATGCATGTCTGCAAGCAATCCTTCATGTCTGCAAGCATTACTAGAGAGCACAGTTCAACCCCTCAACACTGAAATTGCACAGATTTTTTTTTTTTTTTCTGCTTAGTGGTGCTGTGTGGAGGGTTTTTTTTAAACAGCATAGAGGAGCAATACAATATGGTGGCCTGCTCTTGTGCTTATTGAGCGTCCTAATATGAATTCATTAATTTCCCTATTGCTTCTGCAGGTGCATCCTGATATTCCAGCACTACTAAAAGCTTTTTTTTGTGTGTGGCCCTCCTTCCCTAATTTTACTGGGAAAATTCAGCTTGGCTTATTGACGGGGAGGAGCAGGGGTAGGGGCTTGCAGCACAGGAACCGCGCTGATGCAGACATGTTTGAATTCTCACTCTCTTAACAGCCCCCCAACCTGGCAGCGTACTACTTCTGGCTTAGCAGCTGTAGGCTGGGCCAGCGCTAGGACCCACATTAACAGTGGCTGGGCCGGGCACCTGTTCGATGCCAGCTCTTCTGCACCCCGCCGGCTGCAGCGGGTGTTTTCCTCCATTGCCATGAGGTTATTTTCCCTGTTAATAGCCTCAGTGTGTGGCCTGGAGCTGGGCCGGTCATGGCGGTGCTGCTGGAGCCAGGTGGAACCCCTCCCTGCCAGGACCAGTGATGGGGGGTGAAAGTTGGGACCCATGTGCTCCGCCTGCCTTGCCTGGGAGGGGAACCTTGTTTTACAAGTATTTATTTCCCCCCTCTCTCTCCACGTTATGTTTGTCTGGATTACGTGAAGTGTTTGAACAGAGAAATGAGAGATGTTACTTTTGGCCGTGCTGGGTGAATGTGAGCTACTACTGGCCTGCCTGTGCCTGAGGCGATGGCTGGGCCAGGCTGTGAGCCGAGGGAGAGGGAGGGCCGGAGGGATGGTAGGGCGAGCAGGTGAGGATCTGCACTGGGCTGGGTGGGAAGGTCCCATCCTGCTTCCTGCCCCTCACAGGTGCTGGTAGTGTGAGATCGAGGTTGCCATTGGCCCCTGACAACCCCAACAAGGCTGAGTCTTGTGGGGGCCACGAAAGGAAAAAAAAATGGGGCAGGCAGAGCTGCTGCTTTGGCTGAGTTACGCCCTTGCCCATGTTGCAGTGGGAAGCATCACTGCCTGGTTTTACTTCTCTGCTCGTGGGTCATGGGGTGCAGGGATATCACTTGTTCCCCTCGTCCAGTATGTCTTGCACTGGTGTTTGCCTGGTCCCTAAGGGCTGTGCGGCCGGGCCCCTGCTCGCCCTCGGTGGCACGGGTAGCCATCCCTGGGGATGCGCTGGCCCCCATGCAGTGATGGCGGCTGTTGCTGACTGCGCTGGGGTGCCTTCAGCACATCAGCAGTGACCCCTCAGCCTCTCTTCTGGCAGTAGCCTGATACCTTCTGTTGTGGCGGCGTGTTTGCTACTTACCACTGGCTGATTTTCTGTTTCCAGCAGCCTGAACAAGCCTGGTCATGTAGGATGTGAACAAACTCAGCCCATCTTGTCAATACATTTGAGGAAATAATTGGTGTCAACTGACCTCCCTGTGTTAACTTCATTGTATCTGTGCTGATATACTGATGCACTATGACCTACAGAAGGGAATACAATCTCGTTTACCTTCTCCAGGCTCAGCAATATGTTACACTTCAGGGTGTTCTCAAAGAGGAAAGTGTGCGAAGAAACAGCACGCTTTGAAGCAAAAGATTTGACTTGGTCAAAATCAGGCAAAACACTTGTGGTTTTTACATTCTAGGCTGGGGTACTATATTTCAGTAAAAAGACTGCTTTTGTTGTAGCTGAATCTTTGCTGTATAAAAATGTTTTAACTTCATGGGAGTGGGTGCTGGGATCATAGAATCATAGAATGGTTTGGGTTGGAAGGGACCTCAAAGATCATCTAGTTCCAACCCCCCTGCCATGGGCAGGGACACCCTCCACTAGACCAGGTTGCCCAAAGCCCCATCCAACCTGGCCTTGAACGCTTCCAGGGAGGGGGCATCCACAGCTTCTCTGGGCAACCTGTGCCAGTGCCTCACCACCCTCACGGTGAAGAATTTCTTCCTTGTATCTAGTGTAAACCTACTGTCCTTCAGTTTAAAGCTGCTGCCCTGTCCTGTCACTTCAGGCCTTTGTAAAAGGTCTCTCCATCTTGCTTATAAGCCCCCTTTATACACTGAAAGGTTGCTATAAGGTCTCCCTGGAGCCTTCTCTTCTCCAGGCTGAACAACCCCAACTCCCTCAAGCCTGTCCTCATAGGCGAGGACGTAAACTTGCAGCTCAGAGGCAGTTTGAGTAAGTCAGTTCCCATCCATGCTGTGCTGCAGGTCAGCTCACCACGTGAAATCCTCTGGCTGCTTCCAAGTATTCCACGTGTCTGCACGTGCGAGCTCCCGCCCCTTCTCAAACAGCGATTGCACAAGCTTTGGACAAACACGGATATGAGTACACAGACCTGAAGCACATGATGTACACAAACAAAGTACAGAAGTTCAAGTCTGCTTGGCACCTTGTGGGGTTTTGTGGTTTATTTTTCCTGCATCGTGCCTGTGCATTCAACTCAATGCTATGCCCATACCGTGCCGAACAAACTTGTTAAGAGCAGCTTATGAGTCAGAGAAAGACCTATCTGGTAAAGTTTTACATGGGGAAAAAAAAAAAAGCTGCCTATGGATTAGGCAATGTATTAGCCGTGAAAATCCAAACAGTTTGCTGTTGTTGTTGACATAATTGGTTTTTACAGATTTGAATAACCTCCACTTGAATTCTCTTTAAACACTGAATGTGCTGTGTTGCCGGAAGCGTGTGCTGAAAAGATCACAAGTGATAACCGTGTGATCACCCCATGACCACTGATGTCTAGCAACACCTAGAAGAGGTAAATTGCCAGTTCTTGGGTCTTTGTTACTGTCATGTCTAACTTAAAAGAACTGGCAAACGTGGAATAGATTTTGCTCGTGTTGACTGCAATGTTTTCAATTTTAAGTATTTTATTTAGATGAAACAATTACCGGTGTGATTAGTTTGTTTGGGGGCTCTCTTTCAGAGCTACAGCATGGCCAGAGAGCTCATTTCAAACTCAGGTACTTTCTCTGTTTATGTATATATCTAATAATATGTACAACAAATCTAGGTTAGTGTGTTAGCCAAGAACTTTAAATTAACTTATACTTTATATTTTTTGTGGAGGTAACACTTGTCAAGTTTGGATAATGTTGGTTTCCTGAACATTGTAGAGCATGAATAATACATTTCTTTAATCTGCAACATTGCAATTTATTAGCTTAAATTGTTCTTCCCAACAATAGATGAAATACTTTTTCAGTAGTTCAGCTTAAACAAACAAGTTTAGAAATGCAGCATCCCTCTTGTGTCTTTTTAAGTGCCATGAGATTAACAACCGTATTCCTGGTTGAAGAGTTTGAAGTTCAGTGGAAGGAGCTTTGTGGTAGTGCTTTTCTAATTCCTCAGGTGCAAACACAGTAATTCAACAGACCAGTCCATATGCATTGTATAGAAAAACACTGTTTACTAACTGGAAATCATCAACAATTAGAGGTGTAGAAAAAAACAGGTTTTATTTATGATACAGTGAGAATGGAATGTAATTACAAAAGCCAAGAAGCACCTGAAGCAGGAGTGAGGTGAAGTGTTAAAAAATCAACTGCCATTGCTATAAAAGTCTCTTTTATTTCAGTTTTAAGCATTCAGGTGTATAATCTGACTATGCAAACAGGAAATTTGCAGCTGATCCTTCCACCCCCCCACCCTTTGTCTGTGCTGACAAACAAACTTTGGGCTAAATTGCTTCTTTCTGTGGAAGGAAAGAGCTAGCCATTCTGGCCATTGATCAAGCCTGGCATGCAGTAACCTGGTTCTCTCTGGGAAAAGATGGTGCCAAATAAATGCCTTGCTTCCTTTCCCTTTGCTTTTGCAAGGATGGCTGTGTGCAAGTTGGGACGGTGGTCATCCCATTGCCATGTGTCCAGGACGCCATGCCTTCAGACTGACAACTGCCAGGTCTAGAAGTTCTGTGGAGGTCAGGTGGCACCGAGCAATACACACTCCTGTAAAACCTACCCTACGTGCGACTGCTCCAACAGCACGGGGTTAAAATCTGATTGTGATGAGTGGCTTGGTTTCAGAGGGGAAAAGCTGCAATGCAAAAACTGCTAAACTACTCGGTACTGCTGCTGTGTGCGTGGTGCGACACAGAAGAATGTCCACAACATTGTGGAGCAAGAGACCTTTGTAATGATCCTTTGGCCTGGGGTACGTCTAGGAAAAAAAACCCATCAAGCTTGTCACATAAAATGCTGATCTTCATCACATAGTCTCCTAATCAAAACAGGAAGAGTTGCATTTTGTGGTCACTATTTTTGGGAGGCCTGTGGGCTCTTCTGCTATTGCCAGTGGTTAAGTGCTGAAGCATGGTGAGGCTTGAAAAAAAAAAACCAAGTACAATAAAAAGATGAATGTTTTGGGTGTTTTTGAAATGCCCAAACATAAAATACTAAAATCAAAGTTAGGTTTCAGTGCTGGACTCTGGGCTTTCCAGAGTGTGTTTTCAGTATTTTGCAAGCGTTTAACACTTTGATCACCCTGTGTTAATTTAGGGAACTGCAGCTGTTAAGTGTTTACTGTTGTGACAAATACAGTAAATAGAAAAGATACATATATTCTCTTAAAGTAAATGTAGTGAGTATCTGACCAAGGTAACCATTTATTATTGAAGGTTGTTTTTTTGGTGTTTCAAAGCTGAGAGTATATCATTTGGCAAATGATATAATGTTAGACTAGCAAAAAATGTATATATACTGTATAGTAGGAGAACACAACACTAGATCTGTTAGACTTAATTTGTGTTACACTTAATTTGCTTTTACAGACACTTTTAAAAATTAATTTTCCATTCAGCTTTTGAGGTAATAAGTTAAAAAAGCACCAACATGATTTATTCAAATGTCTAGCTATCATGGAAGGTTTCACTGTATAAGAACTACATGAAAAGCAGGTTCCTTATACTGTGAAAGATTCTATAAATTTTTCATACAGACTTGACATCTGCTGATATGGCTTCGGATGAGTCCTGCCTTGAGCGTATCTGCTGAGGGCTTGCTTTGGAAGGACTGGTCGACCGTAGTGAGCCAGAAGCTGTATTTATTTGCAAAGTAGTGACAGGTTCCACGTGCGCCGTTGCATTCGATGAAAGGAGTTGCTCTGAAATCTTCCAGACAGCTCCCAGGAGAAACCAGCGACTGTCCTCCACCTTCATCACCAGCAGCAGTGTGCTAAATGAGACAAGGAGGGCAGCGTTCAGAGTACAACCTCAGGCAATGCTGTCAAAAACTTACACGTGGGAAAAGAGAAAAAACACTAGAATTGCTCCTAATTCTTAGCTCCGGAGCAGAGAGTCGGCTAATCCTGCAACTATGTAAGGCTTAAGGGTTTGGCTATGCTTTAGCTATACAAAGGAGCCAGCTCATATGTTGATGCCACTTTAAACTCTTCTGACAAACATCTTTTCTATAGTTAAGATTTTTCACTGTTGGAAGTCTTAGAATTGGAGAATCATCTAGGTGGGAAGGGCTGACTGGAGGTCACTGGAGCCAGTCCCTGGCTCAAAGCAGGGCCAACTCCAGCGTTGTCCCTCAGTTGCTCCAGGGCACTGTTGAGTTGTTAATACCTTGAAGGATGGAGCTTCCACAGACTCTCTAGGCAACCTGTTCCTCTCCTTGATTACCCTCACCAAGAAGTTGTTTCCACCACATATCTAACTTAACTTTCCCCAGTTACAAAGTCTGCCTTACTCTGTATCGCACACAAGGAGCACTGTGGAAGCAAAATTAGCTTCTATACAAATAACTAGTTCCCTCTATTCTTTGACAGCGACTTACTCCAAAATCATGCATCTTTACACCACTCAACTGCTACCTTTGACACATATTGTGGTAACGAACTGAATGTTACTTTTCTTCTGTTGAAGGCATTGCTAACAAAACAGATGTTTCCTCTGTCCCTTTAAGAGTTGTATAGCTGCATTTTTAAGTGAAGCTGTTTAATTTTCTGTTAAAACTGAAGGAATTTGCAATATAAAAGAAAGCAGCTGGAAAATAAAGTTGCTAAATAGTTTTGTAAATGTAGGGAGAAATCTGGGCGTGTCTAATCTGCTTGCCTGCCTGTGTTTATTAATAAACAGCATACTATAGAAGTGTAAGCTGTAACTGGCTTGGTTTGTGCTGCGAGAGGCCCACTGTGTTCATATAAATGAGTAACAGAAGCGGCCACCTTTTAACAGAGTAAAGGACTCTGATCTTCGTCTGGTGTTACGTGTTGCTGAGGATAGTTGTTTTTATAAAAAAAACCCAAACTAAGCAATAAAGCCCCCAAACCCTAAAGCTGCAGCTCACCAGGTGTCTTACAAATTTGCAACGTTCGCTAAGCTAAGAAGTTTAGGAGCAAAACTGTTCTAGCATCCCTCAACGAGAACGAAGTTGGTAAGAAGCAGCATGAACTATTACAGCTCTGAGGCCTTTGCAGCTAGAGCTGGAAAGCAGTTAGTAAAAACTGCACGTGCTATTTAAACCCTGGCTTGGGAGCAGACCCGCTTGACAACCTCAGGACGACCACCGGCATCCCTGCGACCAACTCAATGCCAATAGTATCTCTTCTTTTACTGGCCATGGCCTTTTATCCTTCTGGAAAGCTCTACAGGATGCATGATAGTGGAGTGCCCTCGCTACGTGAACTCTTACTGACTTCAGAGGCTGTTTGGGCAGGAGTCCATGATGACTCCCTTCATGACTGTGCCTTACCGAGGGGAAGGAGGTGACAAGTTTAAGCCAAGGAAGTAAATCAATATGTACTATGAGATAACCACATGTGTGCTGTACCTCTTCCATAGTTGCCTAAGAAGCAAAAATGCATACTCCAAACACTTCATTTGTTCTGAACGCTAGTTGGGAAAATGTGAACTCTTCTCACTGCGTGTTCCTTGGTGCTGGCAGACTTTGTCCTGGCAAAAAGTTCTTGCTAAGGTGACAACTTTGCTCTTAACAATGCTCAGTGTTTACACAGGGCTTTGCAAACATTTAATTAATCCTTGGCATTCTTGGGAAGTAACTATGAGATTGGTATCAGGGCCTTTTATAGAAGCAAAAGAAAGGTCAAACATAGGGCTGGTCAAAAATTTGACCTGCCTTTTCTCAAAGCATTTTTTTTTCTGTAACTAAATGAAAAATATCAGATTTCCTTGTACCTCATTTTCTGAAAAATTGCAGCTTTTGACTTTTGACAAACAAATAGTTTGTGGGTAAGATTGACTATTGTTCTGTGATGTTTTTCTGCCAGAGAAATCTTATTTTTTTCCCAACCTTGTTTACTTCAGCATTCAGTCCAGTCTTTAATGAGTTAACAACACTGGCATACTGTGGCAGGTTTTGACTCTTGTGTACATGAAGCAAGTCAGAAAAATGAGCATCTGTCAGATCATTCACTAGCACGTTCTAGCTGCTCTTTGCCATGTTAAACCCTCCAGTGTGTACATGATCCCTCTGTACAGTCTTGCAAGAAAAGCAGGTCAGGCCCTCTGGTAGGTCTTCCACTGCACACCTAACACTAAGCTTTTCCATAACATCCCATTTCCTAATTATCAGATCACAAGATCTAAGAGATCCTATAAGGAATGGGATATAAAGCTCAGCTCCTGTTGCCATTAGAGATCCAACATTGAAGATCGTTTTTAAAAACAACAGGAGGCTGTCTCTCTTTCCAGTCTAGGTGAAAGACTTTGGCTTCTACCAACCATCAATGATTTTGAGTTTCCAAAAGAAGGGGAAAAGCTTTGGCTTTTTTCCTCTAGATCAGCTTCTCACTGGTGATGCATATAAGTAACTTTCAATCTTTAGCTGTGAAAATGCTTTGTAGGCTACTGTCGCACCTCACTGCAATTTTATTTCCTAATCCACAGCCATCCCTGTGTTCTGCTCCAAAGCACTATTTTGTACATAAAGTAAGGACTCCAGATGCTGGTCTGACAAGAGGCAATTTTCTCTGCAATCCACAGAAATTGTGTTTCTTCTCTTCTGCTTTCTAGAAACTAGTTTTGTAGTTCCCTGGTTCCCCAGTACAATGCATGATTTTGGTGTTGCTGGATCAAAACCAGAGCAGCCTTCCTAGTATCTAAGACTCAAACATAAAACCCAGTGCCACACAAAATGTGACACTGGAGAACAAATACCATAAGGAAGGAATATCCGATCCACAAACTGCGCCAGCCTTCAGGGCAGTGAGGAATAGAAGCTTCTTGGCTATGGACAGCAATTGCCACAGCTGGGGCCTCACAAACTGAGCAGCGACTGATATATGGCCTAATGTCTTCTTCTGCCACAGGCATCATTGGAAGAGGTGCTGTAGTTGAGAGCCAGTAGGATTTATCATTTCGATTTGCATAATAGCAAATATCCCCAGGGTTACAGTAGAGGAATGGCATAGTACTAAAACGAGCCAAACATGAGCCGGCCAGCCCTGTTAAAAAAGGAGAAAAACAAAAGAAATTATGGCAACCATTTTCCAGAAGACAATGCATGTTTTCAGTTTCCTGCTCCTTTTTTTTTTTTTTTAGAGGTCCCCTTGAACAACGCTAATGACTTGCAGGAGCTCTCTCAGGGGCACTGTATGCAGACATACAGTTTTTATCTTCTCATTTTGCTGTTTCCTAAGCCTGTTTGCTAAGGCCCAGCTTTCTCTATTTACTTATTTTTCTTTTGTTCTTTTCAGCCAGAGAGATGGAATTAAGTCTGCCACCAGCAGTATCTGCATGTACCTAGATCCTGGTTGTGTGCTTTCTCTTGTCCTTCGAAGTACAGCAGGCTGTATCCGCTCCAGAGTTTGTTCATGCCAACTGGGCACATTGGCTCTTGATCGGACTGGCTGTGCTTCACCAGCAGGTAGCCCATGCTAACGCTGCGACCCGGCATGCCTGGCAGCCCGGGGCTACCGGGGCGGCCTGGCTGACCTTAGGAGAGGGGGGAAAAGAAATAACACAACTTAGTTTGTGCTCTCACAAATGCTCTGACGCTGGCTGATATTCACAGAATCACAGAAGGGCAGGGGTTGGAAGGGACCTCTGGAGATCATCTAGTCCAACCCCCCTGCTAGAGCAGGATCACCCAGAGCAGGTTGCACAGGATCGTGTCCAGGCGGGTTTTGAATATCTCCAGAGAAGGAGACTCCACAACCTCTCTGGGCAGCTCTGTCACCCTCACAGCAAAGAAGTATTCCAGTTAAGCTGCTGATGAACAAAACTGCATAATGCTTCTTATGGTAAATTACTGTTGAAAGAGATGTAGTTCTAGGATTACAGCAGTTGCTTTTGAGAAGAAGTATTCCAGCTAAGCTGCTGATGAACAAAACTTAATTGCATAATGCTTCTTATCGTAAATTATTGTTGAAAGAGGTGTAGTTCTAGGATTACAGCAGTTGCTTTTGAAGTAGATTGGTGCCGGATCAAGCTCCCTGGTTTCTAAGGTGATGTATTTCACTATTAGTGCCAGGGAAAGGCCCATATAAAGTTCTGATAAATTTGGGCATACTTCGTACAATACAGATGAGCATATTTTTCATTTAAAACATTTTCTTAGTCCAAGATTAACCAATGGGTTTTTAATTGCTTGCATTTGCTTCCTACTGCTAAAACTATGCTCTAAAAATACCTTTTCTCTGTGTACTTAGCTAATTAAGGTAGTAATCGTTCTCTTTGATTGGATAAGGACACAGGTATTTCTTTTACAAATACTTTCCCTTAAACACCATCTATCCAAACATCACCTACCCAACCATTCATTTCCATGAATGTAACTGTTAGTAAGACACTAGGCTGAAATACTTAAGAGAAAACCAATATAAAAACAGAGTCAGGTCAAAACAAGCTCACTCACATGAGTGGACTGACATCTACCAAAACTTATTCTGAAAATATTGCTTTAAGCTAACTCTGTTAAGAGTTAGTTACGAGGAAGCTGTGAAGACAGACACTTTCTCTCCCCTCCTCCCCATCCGGTGATGTAGTAAGTACAGAACAATTTATGACAGTGAAATGGGAAAGAGGGAAGAAGTGCATGCAACATCTCTTACCTTCAAATCCCACCGGACCCTGAAACCCTGTTGCTCCTTGTTCACCTCTGGAGCCAGGAGGAGCTGGAATGCCACCCCTGCCCTGGAGTCCTGGCTCTCCAGGTGAGCCTCTGAAACCTTGCACCAACAACGGTTATAAGTACAGTGACTGCAGAGATATCAACATGCTGCCTGCTTTGTTAACGTGTGCTCTACTTGCATATGTTTGGTCCTATCTGCTAGGTTTACAATTTATACTACAGGCAAGATTTTATAGTTCTTGCTCAGGCAAAGAGCACTGACTTCTTTGGAAAATGTTGCTGGGATGAAGACTACATGAGCCCCACAACCTTCATCTTTCACTCTTGCTACCACCACGCATCTCTGATGAGGCTTGTAGCAGGAGGTGCACCACATCGGGTCCATGCATCACTAACACTACAGTCCCTGGGCTGAAAGCATGTCCACAAGGATGTGCACATTTCCACCAAAGACGCTCAGCCTTGATTTAAGTGAGATCCATATCTGTGTTGCTTTGGCTGTGTCAGTGTTGTCAGTTTTCTCCTGTTTTGCTTATGTTCTGAATCCTAGGAGGAGGAGGAAAGCCAAGCCTGGCTTTGAAAGGCCAAAATTTAACTCTCCTTTCTGACTTACAGAATTCAAAGTAGAAGAGAGCCAAAGCAGTGCTCTGGTGGTTTCACTCTGCTAAGGGGAACTGAGCTTTCACCCTGAGTGTGAGATTCCTACCTGGATCGCCTGGTGGACCCTGAAGTCCCGTATCTCCTGGGCTTCCTTGAGGTCCTATATTTCCACGAGGACCTGGTGAACCTGGCTCAGCAACCAGCCTTGGAGGAAGAGGGGACAGCCCAGGAGAGCCTGGAGGGCCCTGAAAGCCTGTGATTGGAAGCAAGATGAGTTAGTTTGATTAAAAAACCCAACTCCTATATTTTCCTTAATGTGCTTTCCATCCATGGATATGTTTCTGTTACTTGGCTGCATATGTGAGAGAGGGACTATGCTCTGCAATTCACCACCTTGGGTATAGCTATATTTATTATATTGGGGAAATGCGTGTAAGTATGGGGGTTGTCTGCTCTTGGAGAGCACAAAGATAAGCAGGAGGAAGTGAATGATGCTGCTGCTCCCTCACTTAGGACACAGGAAATTGGGAAGTTCCCCCCAAATAGCCAACAGCTCTCTGAGGTGCAGCACTATCTTTTGGTGGGCTTCTGGAGACACAAATACACGATGGTATAGATGGAATGAAGGATTTTTATCTACTTCTAAATATCCAGTATGTCTACTCTCCAGCATAAGTTTGTATCAGGAATTATTCTTTTTTTTTTAAACCCCAGAAGCGGCTCTGATTTTGGAGTTGGCACCTCATACAAAATAAATTTGTAAAGGCAAAAGGTTAACTACCCATGTTAAATTCAGGCACCTCTCCACTGGAATTTGCTAGGGGTCACACAGAGTCATGCAGGTTGGAAGGGACATCTAGCCCAACCTTCTGCTCAAAGCAGGGCCAGCTAAATCGGGCTCTGTGGAGCTGCAAAACACGTAGTTTGGAAAGCAGTCGTGCATCTGACTGCACTTACTCACCAGTTACTCCTCTATCCCCCTTGGGTCCGATGGGTCCCAAATCACCTGGAAATCCTATGGCGCCCATAAAGCCGATGACACCTTGTTCACCCTTGCGACCTTTAATGCGAAATGACAGAATGGCATTACTGCATTTCAACACAGATCAAGTGAGCGCAGAAGTCATGTTATCAAAGCTGCTGTAGCACAGGAGGTTTCCCCTGCCCCCGGCCAAGATCAGCGGTTCCCATCCTTACCTTTTGGTCCAGGGTACCCGGGAACGCCAGGTCTCCCTGCTGATCCAGGATCACCTATGCTTCCTTTTGGGCCAATTGGTCCACTCACACCTGTTTGTCCACTTTCTCCTTTGCTTCCTGGTGGAGCTGGTATTCCAGGCTGCCCCTGTAGTCCTGGATAGCCTGTTAGGAGCAGATATAGCTTGTAATCTGTTTATATGTAAGACCTGGACACAGGGAAAAATAACAGTACTATCTAATTGTAACCCCTCAGGTTTTATTTCCTTAATTTAAGCGGGGAGCTAATGTTTATCTCCCTAACCGACTTATTCACCACTCCTGCTCCTGCTCTCAGGCTGGCATAGCCTTGTGCTGTGATGGCAGAGGAATTAGAACATGAAGCTCCCACAAAGCACGGTGTCATCTCAAGCAAGATTTCAGCAGAAGTGGGGTACCTGCTGAGATACAGTCTTCGATGAGCTATCCCTGCCCAAGCAAATGCCCCACTTCACTGGGTGCCTCCCTGCTTCATCCTGCATTCTCCAAGCAGCTAGAGAGAAATCAGACAGCAGCAAGTACCTGACGCGGTGCCAGGTGGTAAATAAGCCAAGGACTTACTGTTCCATGTGTCTTGGTGCTTTAGTTGAACACCTGGATACTAATAAATACTTCATGCTGTCTTGGGAATTACGGGAACAGCTTCTTTTTCCAGAATTATGTATTGCCTGAGGCTAAACCTGGCAGGTTTCTGTTCAGCTACCTCTGCTGCCTAAGAAGACGTTTGGACCTTGTTTCCGAGGAGAGAGGGACTTAGTAATGAGGGTTTTGAGTGGGGCATCTCTCGTGCTGCCTGTTGAAGTTGGATCACTGTGGGTACGAATGCAAGGTGCATGTGGCAAAGTAAGAGCAAGCCATGCCTGTCCCACCATTTTGGCTGGGAGATGGTGTTCCTGTTCCCACTCTCCTGACTGCTTCTCTTCTGTTTTTATTTTTAATCCAATGACAGCCTGGCAAGGGGGAATCAGTATGCAGAGTTAGGCCAACTAAGGTTCTCTTTTCACTTGGAAACCCAGGTATTTTGTTGGTTTTCACCTAGTTTGCCAGTTGTAAGTATTTTGCCGAGTTTACATAAAAATTTCCATGCATCATATAAACATGATAGTGGGACACCTGCAACTTCTGCTACAAGCTCTTCGCAGTGGCACTACAGTTTGAAGTGATTGTGCAGTCCAATAAGCAACAGGTGTATCAGCCTCTAAATACAGAGAGACAGAGAGGTGGCTCTTTCCTGTGTGAGAGAGGCAGACTCCTAGTGTGGACTTTTAGAGAGACGAAGAGCTAATGCCTCCCAATGCAACTTAGTTTGCATGGCAATTTCACATAGGAAAATTTTGTAAATGATTAAGAAAATATTCTGTAGACTTGCAAGTCTGACACAGACCTCAGATTTTGAAGCACTAAATTAGCATAATGCTTCTGAAAGTTATTAAGAAAATTCAGGATGATTAAATCTGTTATTTGCATGAAAATCAAACTCTTCCATCAGGACAACCTGGAGGAATTATCTTTTGCTTTCACGAGGTCTGTCCCTACTATCTTATGTATCATTAGTTCTGTCCACAATTGTTCATGCACTTTAGTGTTGCATTTAATAGGGATATTTTACTGAATCAAGACTGAAAAAACAATGCCTGCTGTTGCTAACCCAGTACTTAATCTCCTATTGTTGTCTGAGGGCACAACCTTCTACTTAATCTTTTGTTGTTGTCTGTGGGGAACAAGGCATGAATTACCTGGCACTCCATCTAGACCTGGGGAGCCCTTATCACCAGGATATCCTGATATATTTGAAATCCCAGGAGGCCCTGGAAATCCCTCCTGCCCAGGAATGC